AAGAAATCGTCATACTGATCCTTTGTCCCATCCCCCCTGAGTCACCAGTTCTGGCAACCCTGGTCCCTCGACTCTGAGATTCCAAATCGCTTCCTTAGCGAATTTACTAGCTACTAAACAGCTATTGGCTGATTTTTGCAGATCCTGAATGGAAAACTTCATGAGTTCCTATTCTTGTTTTTAAGTGCACATAATATTTGAAAGTTACTGTCAAAATTTCAGCGCATAGAGAGGCAAAACTTTTCGATGGAAACTGGTTTTCATTAGAACTATAGAAATGGATATTAGTAATAGCCCCTTGGAACAGCGAATAGTCTAACATTTATTCCTAGCTGTAATGGTCTAAGGAGATACTCATCATGGGTTTAGGAGCACAATGAGGCAGGAACAGATTTTTCAAAGAAATAACATGAGAGAAGTGGAAGTCTTATCAAGACATTATCATCAGATAAAATTCGGCTCATCGAGTTTCACTGAAAATTTAGTGATCGCCACCTTCTACATTAGCTAGTAAACCTATCGGGTAAAACGTGGAGATCATCGACTAGTAGCAGCTAATCCAAGATCGGAGAAGACCAAGAAAATATTGAGTACAAGTTCGCGTCCTACTAACCAGATGATTATTCACAAGTGCCCGGCCGGTTTTTCTGCAAAATGCATTACACAATAGGTACTTGGTGATGCTGTTTCCGAATATGATAACCGGAGCTATCTTTAGTTCCATAAGTGATTTCTCCAAATTCGATTTAAGGAAATACAAGAAAATTCCTTCTAATTTCAACTGCTGATCGGACCAGACTGTAGAACATCTCAAGTTACCTATTTCCTAAAATTTTCAAGACAATCAGATACATTTTGCCTGTGCTATACAACGTTCGGAACAAACTGCTGATGAAACGAGCTACTATTTAACTTCAAAAACCTTAGCGAACACAACGCACAAATTTTTTCTTTTGCCTGGGCTATAGGGATAGGGTAGGGTAGGGTAGGATACAAACTTTATAAGGTAAGATAAGGTTACGAAACTTTTTATCGGATATAGTAAAGATTGAGACCTTTGCCGTAGACTGTACCATATAGGATAAAGAACGCTTAATATTGAGAGACATTTCCTCTTTTAGTGGTGCATGGCTTCGTTATCCATCAGAAGCTATGCCTGTTTTTACTGATTGGTTTTCGGCAGCAATAAAATGTGTGTTTATTGTTTTTGAATAAAACCGTAGGTAATAAAGAGGAACTTCGATCACCGAATGAACGATCCTATTTTACTCCTACTTTCTTATATATAGGGTAGTGTGTAGGGTGCGAACTGTCTGAAGGCAATAGGAAAGGATAGAATAGGGCACGAGAAATTTTAATACGGTAGTACACAGGGTACAAAAACTTCATACCCTGCACACTTCTAATCTCGACAGTCGCAGACCAATTGATTATCTACTGTTCAAGCTTTTGATAGAAAAAGTGATTTGTTATTTATGAATGTTTTGTCATAAGTCGAGTTCAACTCCGGGCTTAAGCCCAACTAAAAGTTATATAGAAAAATTTTTTTGAAAAAAATGAGGAACGCTATTCGAGGTGAGACCTGAATTTGCATAGACAAATTTATATCTTTTGTCAAATCTGAAAAAAATGCTGATCCATTTATTAACTAGCATTTCTAGTCCGCCTCTGACTTTCTTGAGTCCAATCTCGAGCCCAATAAAAACTCTTTGAGTTTGGATTCATTAAACACTGCAAATACCAGAAAAACTAAGGCTCTACCTAACATTGTATATTCTGTGCAGTTCATGCCAATAATGACAAAACGAGAGTTGGAATCTTACTCAAAGGCTGGTACAATAGCACAAGAAGTTTTATCATCAATTAAAACTGTATTTGCTTATAATGGTTCAAAATATGAACACTCACGGTATAATGTTAAGTGGTTTTAATAAAATCTCAAACTAAATAAAAATCTTTCTAGATACACAAAACATTTGCATAAAGCAAAGCAGACTGGTATTCGTAAAGGAATGATAAATGGTTTATTAATTGGTTTTTTTCGCTTTATTTTATATTGTATTTATGCTGTTGGTTTTTATCGTGGTGCACAATTAGTTCATCAGCATAAAGCAAATATTGGCGATATTTTTGTTGTAAGTAGTACTATCAAAACTACAGTTTGAATATACAAAAACGTCTTTATTTGGAGATATTTTTTACAATTATTATTGCTATATTTTCATTTGGACAAGCAACAACGAATTTACAATTTTTTGGTAAGGTTCAAAAACATCTTTTTAAATTGTTCTATATTTTTTAGTTGTAGGTGAAGCAATTGGGGCTATGAAATATCTTTGTCAAATTCTTGATACAGTATGTCCTATAATAATTTGTTTAAATTCAATCACCTTAATTTTTTATTTGAATTATAGTCATTAACTAGTGTTAAAAGCCAACAACAAAAGAACGATAAAGAAACAATAACAGCATATGATGGATTAAAATTAGATCAATTAAAAGGTGATATTGAATTTGACAATGTTTGTTTTTCATATCCAAGGCGATCAGAAATGAATGTTTTATCAAATTTATCATTTAAAATTAAATTTGGTGATACAGTAGCAATTATTGGTCATAATGGTTGTGGAAAGGTTAGAGAAAGAAATACATTTGCTTTTTATCACGGGTAATCTCTTCTTCTGAACGGAAGAAACTCGATATAAATGAAAGTCACTGGCGAATCTAACAAAGGAACTTCTGAGAAACAAGACGTCTTTGGCTTTAAATGAAATTGTTAAAAAAAGTTATCAAGTGCACTCTGAACGCTCTGAAAAACGGAGTGTCATCAGCGTAAAATACGCTGCTCAAAACATCGTTCTCTACTGCTTGGTTTCATCAGCACATGTACCAATTCTCTTCAATCACTCCATCAAAAATACAATTTTTTTTCTAAAACGTCGATATTGAGCTATGCATACCATTACATAGCTCACTGAGTCTTCTATCAGATCAAAGTTTTCTATGTCGTATTCTTCGCCTATCCTGTGCTTAGACTGTAGAACCCACTGTTAAGTATGATTTCCTGTAAAGCCAAGTTCTTCATTGAGTACCATACCGACATCGTCGAAACTTTATCCGATTGAACTTAAATTTTTACCGCAGATAGTAGGCTTCGGTACACTCGGGTGTTTTTCGATTTGAGTTTCCAAAAAGTAACGTTGAGAACTTACGGGAAAATTTTGTGATAACTGTATTTAGAACTTCAGGCGTCCAACAACTAAGCTTAGCCTATAATCTAGCCGCCGTATGCCGAAAAGGTCTTGGAAATTTGAATCAAAATACGCCTAGTATAGTGGTCTAGACCTATGGTAAAACTTTGAGCTTGAACCGAAAAAGTTTCAATGGAATCGGTACGGCATTCTTATATTGGCGAACCGAAGTTTGAATGTCGAAGCACACAGGTGTTTTGAGGATCTTAACAAAATGCTTATAAATTTGAAGAAAACATCGTTGAGACCTCAGAGACGTCTCATTTCGGAGAAAACTCTTCTGTCTACAGGACAGGGAACTTAAATACATGTTTTGACTTAGGCAAGAAAAGAATAAAAAATTTTTCAAGCATATTAAAAATGACAGCCATTAAAAAATTTATATTTTCTCAAAAACGCTTGCTGAGAGCTGAAAGTGATCTCAAAATGTAGAGTACAATTGTCTCTATCATACCTCATGTTTATCTGAAAAGCCAATTTTTTTTTTGTTTCACGAGACATCCTTATATTACAGTTGACAGACTTAAAATTTTTACTACTACTATACGGCTTGTCCAAGCGTGACGCTGTGACAATTTTGACACAGTAATTTGAGCTTTCCTCAAAAAGTGTATAAGCTAGAACCGTCGTCCTTGCGCCGTTCGACGCAGCTCGCCATACTCTACTT